TTCGGGCAGGCAACACCCCATTTCACTTTGCGTCAGCTGCGTTCATCGTGATTGAAACACCAAGGTTCGCCTCGATAGGAATGGCTTTCAAGATTTAGGTTGCTGGGCGCAAATTTTCTTCGACAAGTATGTTTAACGATAACACTCAACATTGTTCATTAACCGTTGTATGAATCCTTGCCCATCGTGAGCCGGTAGCGTAGGGGTAGCGGAGACCAATCACGACGTAATCGTCCCGGGCTCGATGCCTGCTAACGCTTGCCGTTGAGATGTAATATCATCAATAGATGGTCATCAGTAGAACCTGTAACTTGCCGGTGCCTCCAACGAAGGAAGCTCAACCGATAAGGGTCAACTCAGACTGCATATACAAATTCCTGTGCGACTGCGCAGACAGTTATATAGGCAGAACCAACCGGTTTTTGACTTCCCGAATAAAGGAACACGTGCCAAGGTGGGTTCAACGTGAAATGGACCAGCATCCCCGTCCCACTGAAGTTCCGTGCTTGAGCAAGCCGCCAGCTTCCACAGTAGGTAAACACCTACTGATTACGCCTCACCGGACAGAACATGGATCAGCGTTCACACTTTTATTACGTCACCCTAATCCCCGCATCCTCCGTTTCGCCGGGGACGTTGTGATAAGCTGGATGAAGCTGGCTCTGTGTATTCAAAAGCAACTATTTGTCAGCTTAAGACTGCCGTGGACATAGGGATGGAATTCCATCATTCATTACGCACCTCACCTTCTTTCGGTCACACGCATAGTTGAGTATATAGTTGCATACCGGTTATTGTTAATGGTACTAAGGAAGCAATACGAAACGCATGCATCTACCAGTTTTCCTCTTCTTACCGTGTTTTCAAATTTCTGAGGGGAACTAACTGCTTTAAATATTTCAGGTAGTCCATGTACAAATGCAAACAAATGCACTTAAGCCTGTCATAATTGAATACTGAATACTGAATACTGTATTATAGGGCAAGTAGAAATGAATTCTGTACAACTCTTTCGAAATATGGTGAAAAACGTTATAAAACTTGTCAGCCGTGAATATCGTTGTCGTTCTAATGTAACATTTAATATAGCTGACTTACGATATTTCAGGATTCACAAATGTGAGATGTCATCGTAAGTGTGCAGTCGTTCTCTGAATCGAATAGTGGCAAAATACAAATCTAACAACGTTTTGAACTGTTGCGCAGATGTTGCCTCAATCCCATGTTCAGGTAAACTGTTCCAAATATTTGCCACTCTCCGTTCGAACCACAGTGGGTGGGGAACACGTTTCACATCCGGCACGACAGGTTTGTATCTGTGTCCGCGTGTGCCGCATGGCCCTCGTAAGTGCAGCATTGGCCTTAGCATTGTGAAGTCACCGAGAAGAAGAATACGGTAGGTCATAATGAGGTCGACTCGCACCCGACGGTAGGACAAGATGTAGAGTCCTAGTTTCTCGCACCGGTCTTCATACCCAAAGCCACGTAAACTCGGGATCAGCCTGTTAGCAACGTGTTGGACCCGTTCGATCTTTTGTGCTTCGCCTCGGGTAATCGGAAAGTAGGCGGGTGAACCGTACTCTAGCATTGGTCTAATGATAGAAGAGAAGAGGCTAGTGGCAACCTCTTCAGACCATGTGCCGAAGCTAGGTTTGAGCGCCCAAAGCATGCGCAGTCCGTTACGATATAGCCTGTTCGTGTTGTCCATGGACTACAAGCCGTAGCGTGGCAGTACACCTAGGTCTTTCACGGAGGGTGTGGTACATAACGTTTGGCCGTCTAGGGTGTAGTTTCGGCCGTTAGCACCCTTCTCCAGGCTCATAAATACAGACTTGGCTGGGTTGACGGGGAGAACTTCTGCAGACCATGGGGACAGGCGGTTTAGGTCTTGCTGAAGTAGGCAACAGTCATCGGGAGCGTCTATTTCTCTCCAAATGTTCATGTCATCCGCAAACAAGGCACACGGCGACCGGGGAAGCTGCGGTAGATCGTTGATGTGGATCAGGAACTGAGTGGACCCCAGCACAGTGCCTTGAGGCACGCCACTTGTACAGGGGTACCAGTCACCTTCGTCCAACAAAAAGTCACGGATCCACCGGTGCAGTGAGCCACCGACACCACCAATTCTGAGTTTGTGAAGGAGAACCTCATGACTGGCCTTGTCGAACGCTTTACTGAAATCGATGAATATCACGTCGACGGATCTCTTCTTGCTTATTGCCTACAACTACTCATGTCTCGTCACAAGCAGGTTCGTAATGCATGAGCGAACTTGAATAAAACCGTGCTGTGCGGAGGTCAGGACCGCGTTTGACTATAGCAACTGCAGCAATCTCTTCTTCACGATTTTCTCAGCAACCTTTGTCAAAATAGGTGTTAGACAATTTGGCCTGTAATTGTCTACTTTGCCAGGGTCACCGCCTTTCGGAATAGGTTTCCCCACCGAACATTTCCAGTCAACCGGCAACAAACCTTCGGAGAGCGACCTGTTGAAAGGGTCAGTCACGAAAGGAGAGAGGATGGCTGAAATTGACTTGAGAACCAGTGGGTGAAGCCCATCAGGTCCGGCAGGCTTGGTGCCGTCAAGGTTGGCGAGTAGTTGACCTACCTGTTCAACGCCGCAATGCAGACTATCGAGTTCGGTAAAAGCAGCACACGTCGAACGCGGAAAAGACACCTGGTTATTTGCAAATACAGAAGCGCAGTGTGCAGCCAGCGCGGACGCACGCTCAGTGCTGGAGGTTAGGGGCTGTCCATCCGTGCCATCTAGCACTGGCACATCACCTGCCGGCTTCAGGCGTCTTTTCACTTATGCAAAGATTCTCTTTGGGGCGGTCTTCGCGGCTAATGCGAGCTGCTCTTCGAAATGTCGGCGTTTATTCTTTTTTGCATTGTTGCAGAGGTTCCACTGACATTCATACCCTTCGTGATCATTGGCAGAGCCAGAGAGAAGGAATTTGTCCCACAGTCTGCGCCGCCTCTGTGCCAGGTTTCCATATTCCTTGTCAAACCAATGAGGCTTGATCGGTCTAAACTTTCGACATTTCAATGGCACAAATCGGGAACACAATGATGTCAATCTCTCTCTTATAAATATCCAACAATCTTCCACAGATGCAGCTTGTGACAGAGACCAATACAGTTGGATCGCGGCTTGTGCTAGATCATCGAAATCCGTTTTCCGGTAGTTTGAAGCTGGTTGCAGCGGATGTCAATGCGGCAAAGATAATTCCTTATCAGCTATCAGTACTGAGTATTGGTCGCTCGTAGCCAGGGGCTCCAGGATCCTAACATCACGCATTTGTTGTCTGTAGCTCGTTAACATCAGGTCGAGACAGGACGGAGTTGAACGTGTTGATATGCGTGTTGGCTGGCATATGTGTTGCGTTGCACCAGTTTCAAGTACCAAATCCACGAACTTTGCTTCAACGTCACTATGTCCAGGCATCAAATACACAGCAGGCCACCGTATTCGAGGACAGTTAAAATCGCCCATAAGTAGAAAGTGTGGACGACTCGTGTGGGTCCGAAGAATGGGCAGCCAATCCAAACAACGACTCAGCGGGCTGCGATAAACTGCGCCCACAAGCATTTCTCCGCGCCTGAAGCGGATGGAGCACCACGGTAACTCACAGAAACCATGGTCAATTCGGTGGTTGCTCACAAGTCTCCCACGCAGGGAAGACCGGATGTAAAGTAAGACACCACCGTGGGCATTCTTTAGTCTATCGCATCGGAAACACGAGTAGCCCTTGAGTTCAAGTTCTTGGGTGTATAACTCTGTATGCAGCCATGTCTCTGCTAGTCCCACTACGTCTGGCCGCTCAAACGCAACGAAACAACAAAGCTCATCGCGCTTATTCATAATACTGCAAACGTTTGTGAAGGCTACTCGCAGGCCGCAGCAGGAGCCGCCGGGCATGCTTCAAGTGTGAGCAGCCTGTTTATCCTGATTCGCCCATTGTTGGAAACCACCCAAAAATTTACGATACGAAGCTTTGTTTCCACCTCATCAGTGCGTCTTTTCAGCTCAATGATGGCAGACTTGAGCCGCTCCCTGTCTAGTGGGTCCAGCTCTGGACGATCATGGATCTTCAAGACTTTCAGCCTGCTTAGGCGAAAAATGATCAGTCTTGGATTGGCTTCGTCCACAAAAGTGATTCTTATAGGCCGATTTTGTTGATCATCTTGCTTTCCAAGACGGGTAACCTGCCTCACTTCTACCGAGTCCTCACCAGCGTCGAGGAGTCTATCAATTAGACCCTGTAAAACTCGACATCGTGATCGTAGCGCACTTGGGGTGATGGATCACTGGACTCCGGTGCGTGAAAGGTCACGATATTATAACGCCTTGGGTCGGACGAGGTTGACTTTGCAGGGCTAAGTATACTACCAGCCTCACGTGGTTTGGCTAACTGTTGAGTTACAGAACGTAAATGCCCAACGTCCCTTCGTAATTTCTTTCTCTGTTCTTTCCACTGGACTTCAGCACTCAGACTTTCACCTGCTAGGACATCAGTGTCTGTTGGACACAACAAAGGTAAACAATTTAGGCTAGGTGCAATTGGGGTTCTCACAACGGTTGGACTTCGTGCCGGTGAGTTTGCACGGGTAGAGGAGGAAGGCTAAGCCGAAACTTGAAAGCTCTTCGGGCCAGCTGGTTGGGCCAAACACACGGAGCTGTTCGCAACGAAACGCTGAGACCTACACGTCGGCTTTACTCTTTCTGGCTGTATGTTATTTCGGCAATTTTCACATACAGTTTGGACGAAATTGTGTTGGATCTCGCAAAGACGATGAAAGTGCTCAACTGATAATCCAACACATGAAATATGGTATTTAACTTGGCAAAATGCACACGTGAGGGCATTTGCACGGTATCCGACTAGTTTGGAGCAAGTACCACAGGATGACTGCTTTGGCATTGTGAATAATCCGAAACCAAGATGGCGGTCAATTGACGGAGAAAATGATGATAGCAAGATCGCCGAAACCAAGCGATGAAAACACAAGTATTTCTGGTCGGAAATTTCAGAATCGGAAATGAAACTGAATTGTATCTCAATTTCCACGAAATACTCCAAATGAACGCAGATAGCCAACACAAAGTGATCTTGTCAACACAGCCAAAAATAATTGGTATGAAACAAGGCAGTGTCTTGTGTCAGCTATTGCTCCTATTATATGTGACTGATATTGTCGAAATCTTTGGCACCGGAAAAATTTTTCAGTTGTTGACGACATGCCTATACTTAGTATTTATAAGCCCACTGGTGTTAGTCACATGGTTAGTGTAATCCATCATGATTTACCTTCACTTAATTTGTGGTATGTAATTATGAGTCGATAAAAAACCAAGCGTTCTTCTACTGATGTGACGATATATTGCGTTCGCTTTTTAATGATGTTGAGTCAATGTTCTAGAGAAATAGCGTCCGCAACTTAGGGATGTATTGTTCAGACAAACTTCGCTAAACATACTAAACATACTGTAGTACAAATTGGTGGGAGTTTGGGACTTCTCTATAAAAGGTTCAAGTTGACAGCATCGATTGACGCTATCTACAAATAACAAAGGCGTCCACTGCTAAATCATAGCTATATGATTTATTACCATTCCAGAATAAGTGACCGTACGGTACTAAGAGAATGCAGTGGCCATTTTCCAAGGGTCTCCTGGTATACTGTGCAACATTCAGATAAACGGATCGACGCACTAATTAAAAAGCTGATCTATTATGGTTGCACAAAATGGAGTTTACAAGAAATTGGAATTTTCAACTAAAGCAGTACAGCTAGAAAAATTGACTAGATATCAGATAGGAAAGAAATATATTATAGAGTTAGCAAAACGATCAAGCACAGAGCGGTCTGACAAACATTCTTAACAAACACTTCATATCAAAAATAAGCTTATGAAGAAAAGTACATATGATTGGGTTTCATCAAGTTGAACAATTGTTTCTCAATGTAAAACGGGTTGCTAATATCATGAGACCTAACATAACGATTCGTCGACGTATGCATGATCAATGCTAATTTTGCATAGTTATCGACGAGTGGCAAACAGCTCCTAAACGGTACAATATGTCTTACATTGGATGCCATGTTATCATCCATCGTTTATAACTAGGTAGTCTTTCAACTAGAAAGTATCAAATATCTTATTCAATTGCAGTTTTCTGAGCTTTGGGCCAAGCTCACCAGTAACTTTTAGTGTAACGACTGGAAGTTTTCGCGTGACTATAGGTTCAAACTAATCAGACAGTAGGTATTTCTTCATCCTTTCCTTTTGATCAGCACTACGAAATACATTTTCTCTGTCCACCGAGGCCATACTAGATAAACTTAGCACTTCTCAGCGCTGAACGGCAACAACTTCTGCGCTTTTTGATTGCATGACAGAGATGTAAACTTCTTTATAATTCAATCTTATTTCTAAACACCTGTAGGGGTACCTTTTCATCGGTCAATGTGTACACATTGACTAGACGACCCATCAAATTATGCAACTATATTACACACTATTTCTACATTTCTCGTTTTTGTTCATTTTGGTTAAGACTTCGCAGGTATCCTGAGATCAGTGGTTAAATATTCCAACCTAATCAGTATACAAGTACAGTGCCAATTACCCCAGACTTACTTACCAGTAAAAGTCCAAAGAGTGTAATGGTGGATGGTTCCAAATGCTTTTTTTGTAGGTATATAAAGATAATACTACCAATTAGTGAATGTAACTTTGGCTTACTTGATTTAAGCCACTCCGACCTACGGTCAACTGTGGTCTAGAAGTGCGAATTAAATATTTCTAGTGTTATTCATAACAATGGACCCACAGTAGATGGTTGGCTGTGAAATTTCAATCAGATGGAGGCATATCACTTCACTTATTCCCACATTCCTATTCGTTTCTTTCGAAAACCTTTGACTAATCAAACTCTGAAAAAATTTGTTTGAGAACCACTACGAACAATGTGATCCTACGGTACAAACTGATTAAACTACCTAATGGGATGTATCTTGCGCCATCCTAAATTATACGTCACTCATCCATTAAACCTTTTTCAAAACTTATGTAATGTTTGCTGTTTTCACGATTCACGGGCCATTGGGAATCGCAGGCTTACAATGGGTGATTGATTAGATGTTACGTAAAGAAAGCAGGTTTGACAGCAAGAACTCCAAGTAGTTTATAAATAACTAGATTACTATTAGGTGAAGGATAAAATAAATGAACATTTTTATATATCATTGATGATAGTTGTCATGTAACTACACCACAAATTGATGTACCTTATCAGCATAGAAATAGACTTTGGTTGATTGGAGCTGGGTATATCGAGATACTGAGCCCGTTACACGGCATTCTGAACCACGTAAATCGCAGTTCCTTATCTGTAACCAAATGTTACATTGCAGCTAACATCAAAGTAGACTGCCCAAAGTTAGTGGGGAATTCGGATAACAGTCTTAAAATTTGTCTGTTTTTTTTCCTGTCATACGGTGTTGTTATGGAAAACATTCTCTTGTCGACTGAATATCACTTTAATAATTATTCCTTGCTAATAAAAGCTAAAACCTAGTAAAATTAATAAAAGTCATCTTTAGAATTTAAACGCTATTGCCTACCGTTGACAGCACTCCACGAATCCGCCAGCTTCAATGGGCTGAAGATATCTCCGAGGGAGTTGGATTTGTGTTAATCTTCCAAGCTCAATATGCTAGGGATTTTGAGGCTTCCAATCTTGATTTTCTATCCTCTTTTCCATTGATCGCAGTTAGAGCATGCATTCATGCACACTGTGATACTGGCTTTGTTCGGAACAGGGAAGAATGGGAAAGGGGACACACCTGCGCACGCCAAGACCGATAGAGAATGGCAACCGAGGCAGGCGTGCGGACCTTTGCGCCGGACAGGCCCAGTACTTTGACACAGGCCAAAGTCGACTTATATTCGAACGACACACACACACACACACACAAACCACTTTGCCTATTGAACACCATCGGAAAGATGCAAGATTCCGTACTGATGACAAAGTGAAGACGGTCGTTAACAACCCTACACTTAAAACAACTTGCATTCTTGAGTCCACTTATGAGTGACCAGGACTTGAACAGAATAATTTGCAGCTACTAATCGCAATATTATCTATCAGTTTCCAAACCCCGAATCATCTATTATCGTTTGTTCCAAAATTGTACACGTCATGCTTTTCATTTCTTACAAGGAACAGGAAGTAAACCGCACATGCTGCAGCGTCTCTTCTCACTTGTAGTTACCACCAAGTTCTTAAGAAGCTCTTAAGAAAAGCTACCGCTTTCAGCACTAGCAGAAGCTTTGAATGAAAAATATTCAAATGTAAACAAAGTTGACGTTTTGTAGGAACCGGAGCAAATGTTTGACTGTGTCGCTATAACCTTCTAAAACCATGACAAGTCCGACTTACGCATATCTATACCAACCTCCTTTTCTGGTTACCTCGGTAAACAAGTAAAACGCAAGTTGAAACAACATGATTTCTCCCCTCAATATTAAACTTTTAATTTTAATGAATATGATAACATTCTGGCTCAATTTGAAATGCTACTATGTGCTTTGGCTGTGGTGCTTCAGTAAACCACTTGTCCTACATGTTTGCTTGCATTCCTTACTCCGGATTAAACAATATTTAATTCAGTCTGTACACAAGGGTCATTATCGAGACTTCACGAAGCAATCAATTATCCCTTTTATTCCGATACTTATACTAGCCTCATGGAGGGTGGCAACGGTGCGAACGATGTTTTACCCCAAAACAATTCCAATTATATACACCAGATTACCGGAATACTGGAAACGATGCTTCCTTATACAAAGACTATCGCCATCAGCAGCCTCTCATGGAATGCCATAAAACACAGTTAGTAAGACGTTGCGTTCATCCGGGTCACTGCAGTATTCAGAAATCTCACTCAGCTATGATTCCGTTTGGTTGCACCTAGTGAATGAATTTTTCACAAAAAATGGTCATTATTCTACACTGCTCACTTGGGATCATGCCTTTTCTCCCGTTACGTAATACCGCGAATTAAACCGTCTGTGTGTTGCCATTATGAACCCATTGATGCCCCGAAATATTTCTTCATCTACCAAGAAAATATTTCCAAAAACATGTTAGGTGATTGAGGCAACAGTCTAGATGTAGTGACATTCTAAATCTGAATTTATTTGTTTATTCATTACTCTGCTTATGCCAATCCGTGCAAAAGGCTTTAGTCAAAAAGCATTTGTCAATACAAATCATCCTCTGGCTGTAAACTGGCGTCGTCTGTCAAATACAGTTAGCAAACAATTTAAACTCTTGCACGTGTCTAGTAGTCATTTGCCTTTAGTAGTTTTGGTGCAACCAAATTACACTTATGCTGTATTTTTAAGGCAATTCTGTATTTCGTCTATACTGCTATCCAGGAAATCTAATATTCCATGTTATAAGATTTATTCTTTTTGCAATGCTGTAATGGTGGGTGTGACGGCTTGAGGTTCACCATTCTGTAAGCGTTAAACTGTTTCTTGAAATGAACCGAAATGACAATTCGAGTAAGACAATCATCCTCAATGATATGGCTGCCATTTCTGCATTATCTACATATCATGATAACGCATATGTTAAAGCTTGATAACGCTGAAAACGGAGTGTAGTTCAAAACTAAGAATATAAATTATTACTATTACTAAAAAGACAGAGTTACTTGTGTGGTCGATGACAGGTTTACATTCGTTTAGCCAGTGTAATGCCAAACTGATTGAAACAACGGCTTGATGTTATAATTTTACCTAGGGTAAAACAGATATCTTTACTTTTCTGAAATCCAGATATCTAATTTGGCATACATTGAATATTAGATGGACAGCGCATTTAAGATTTCATTGTAATTATGAAATACAGGGAATAAAACACGCAACTTGGGAGCTTTTCTTAAATTCTTTTGTGTTTAAGAAAATTAATTTTGTGTATGGCTTTTGCGCAATAATTAAAATGAGCGAATAAAAGCACGAACTACATGGGTTGTTTATAGAAAAGTATAGACTATTAATAATATCAAAGGCCAAATGTTGTCAATTTACTTAGGTTATTATTATAAATACTGGCATTGTGTGTGCGACATTTTGTTCGAACTCTAGGCATTAGGAGAAAACTGTAATATTTACTTAGAAATATTAGAAAAATATTTCATTCCATTAGAACATAACGACAGCACACAACTTTCCTAAATGTTTTGTTACTAAAACCCATGGTCTTGCTCT